TGCTGGAGGACCCCCGGGTCCCCCACAAGCCGGGGTCCTCGCAACGCCGGTGCCCCGCGTGCCTACCCCCGCCCACCGTGCCCGCCTCGCACGGACTTTCCCTTTCAGTTTCAGAGTGTGCGGGCTCTGGGGACTCGGGGCAGAGTGCGCATCCCGGGAAGTGCCAGTGTCCCCCGCTCCCCAACGCCTCCGCGCCCTCGGGGGCTGGCCACCCTGCTCCTGGAAGGACCCCAGTGGTGCGGTGGCGTTCACAGCCTGATTCCCCGCAGGTCTGCGAGGAGCAGAAGTGCGAGGAGGAGGTCTTCCCGCTGGCCATGAACTACCTGGACCGCTTCCTGTCGTTGGAGCCTCTAAAGAAGAGCCGCCTGCAGCTGCTGGGGGCCACCTGTATGTTCGTGGCCTCCAAGATGAAGGAGACCATCCCCCTGACGGCCGAGAAGCTGTGCATCTACACTGACAACTCCATCCGGCCCGAAGAGCTGCTGGTAACCGCAGACCACTGCGCGCTGTGGGACCCCGGCTAGGGGGAGGTGCAAAAGGCAGGAGGAACGGCCCACCACCGATCTCTTGCTCCGGGGGGGGGCCGGGGGGCACACTGCTCAGCCCCTAGGGCAGCAGTTGGACCCCAGGCAACCCTCAATGCCCCCTCCCCCCGCACCCTGTCCTAGGATCCAACTCCCCACACATCTGAGCTCCAAAGGGGTCAAACGTGGATGACGCGCGCCCTCTTGCGGTGCGCGGGCCGCAACACTGGTCACAGAGGCCCTCAATTCCAGGTGGTGGGCGGTCTTTTTGTCTCCCAGCGGGGTCGGCTTAATAGCGAGAATTGGAACCTTTTTACGTGCACCTTTTCTATTTTGATCTGGGATCGCGTGTTACCTCCACTCTCTGGACTCTCCCCAACATTCTCCACCCCATCTCCCACCTCAAGACTGCTAAGGCCCGTGAGCTGGGCCACAGGCGAACGAACCCCAGAGATTAGCCTGCCCCTTTCTTGATGCCTGTTCCCCGTTTTCCACAGCAAATGGAGCTGCTCCTAGTGAACAAACTCAAATGGAACCTGGCTGCCATGACCCCCCATGATTTCATCGAACACTTCCTGTCCAAAATGCCGGAGGCTGAGGAGAACAAACAGATCATCCGCAAACACGCACAGACTTTTGTCGCCCTGTGTGCCACAGGTAGGGGGCCTCCTGCCCAGATCTGTCCAGGAAGATGGTTCTAAGGTCCCCTCCAGCCCACAGAAGTGACCCTCTCCCTGCCACAGATACCCGCACAGTGCCTTGTGGCGGGTAGGAGGCACAGGTTTTCCTGTGTCCTGCTACGGTGCCTCTGCTCCCCACACCTGATGATACACAGCCACTCCACACTGAGAGGGCTTATCTCGGCTGCTGTCCACCCCCCAGCCCTTCCCTGGTCTGTCCTCTAGGAGCCTGGGTTGCTGGGGGGGCTCCTGGCCTCTCCCAAGCTGGGCCACCTGCCAGGGGCGCCTTCGGGGGTGGGGAGAGCAGCCAATGGTGGCTACACCACGTGTTCTCTCTGCCAGCAACAGTCCCAGTGCGGGGGCGGCCAGTGGAGGAGCTCAGAGAGCTCAGCAGCCTGAGGCCCCGCCAGGGGCGTCACAGGCCAGGGGCGCCACAGGCCGGCTCTGCTCAGCTGTGTACTGGGAGGGGCTCCAGGGCAGCCTGGTCCTGAACCTGGGCCACTCCTTTGGCAGCAGAGGGGCCCACTCTCTCTGTTCCCTCCCCCGCATGGCTCCCAGAAGCCCCTCCCTGGCCAGGTGCTACCCCTAGACCCCAGAAGGGCAGCCAGTCCCAGGGACCGATGTGGATGGACAGACACTTGTACACGCACCCACACACAGCAAGTCACCTCCTGCCACTACCACAGGCCTTCTGCCACTGTGACATTGTGCTGCCGGGTCTGTCTGGAAGCTATGTCCAGGAAGCCAGCTTCCCTCAGTGGGGTCACTACAAGCCCTCCCACCCCACTGTGCTGTGACCTTTCAGTGGCCCCAGCCGGGCTTTAATTGTTGCATCTGCGTTTGGACTCCCTCTGGGTGACTCCAGGGCAACAAGACAACCTGCTATCACGGGGGCAGCGCCCCCTACTTCTGATATTTCCATTGCATCCTTCCTTAAGTGGCAGCCCTCCTGTCTGGCATTCCAGAGCAATTGCTGCTGGGGTGAGGAGGCTGAGGACACAGCCCAGCTCTTTACCTGCTTTACCCCCTCCCCCGGGGCCTCCCTCAAGCCAGGGAGAGTTTGCTTGGATGGAGCTGAGGGTGGGGGCAGCGCTGAGACTGTAGGCAGCAGGGAGGAGTTCTCTGGCTGGGGCTCCTGCTGAGCGAGGCTCCACAAAGCCTTTTATGGAGCTGAAAGTAGTTTGAGAGGAACAGCGGGGTTTCCTGGAGATAATTGGAGGGACCATGGTTGCACAGCCTCCCTTGGGACGACTCAGGCAGCCAGACCTTCCCCCTGGGACCCTTGGGTGGGTGCTGGCAGGGAGGCAGCAAGCGCAGAGCAGCAGAGCCAGTTCCAAGCTGCTGCAGGCCCCGGGTCTAAAGTGGGGGTAGTGGGCACTCCAACAGGCAGTTGAGGCAGATGGACGGCCTGGTGGCCACGGTATCACTTCCAAGGTGGGCCAGCAGGAAAGGACAGCACACATCCATTGGACACGGCTGCAGTGTGGCTGTGTCAGGCACAAGGGACAGAAGAGAGGCAAAGGTTATGGCCGGACACCAGAACTGAACTGATGCAGCAGAGGCAGAACACAAGTCTAGGAAGGCGTGTTTGCCCCCTGCACAGCAAGGGCCATGTTGAAAGGAAATGGGAGAGTGCTGCTCCCCATCCCCCCTGCTCAGGGGCCCCTAGACCCCCAGGTTCCTTAGTGTGGATGCATAGGCCACACATGCATAAGGCTGGGCTATTTTTATTTGTGTGTGCGTGTGTGTGTGTGTGTGTGTATGTGTGGTAGTATTGAACCCCAGGGCTTTCCCACTGAGCTATATCCCCAATTCTTTTTATTTTGAGACAGTTAGTTGCCTAAGCCGGGGTTGAACTTGGCCATCCCCCGTCTCAGCCTCCCAGCATGCTGGGGTTGCAGGTATGTGCCACCATATTAAAGCTGGGCTTTTTAACATGATTGTCCCAGAGCCTGTCACTTTGCCAGTCTGTTTGGCAAGGACATTGCCAGTGTGGTTGACAGCACACAGTTGAGTTTCAGTGAAAAGTAACATTGGAGTTGGTTCATTCTGACTTGCTCATGTCTGACATAGAAGGCTGCTCTGGCCTTTCCGCGGCACACAGCTGGGGGCATTTCAGAGACGAGGCAGCAGGTGGATCTGCCATGCTTGTGCCTATCAGCAGTACGAGAGCTTGTCACTTGCAGAAGTGATTTCTGTGCGCAACTCTGACTTGCTTCAATGAAAAGGTCTCCATTCATGGCTCCTGCTCTCAGACTGGGTGGATTTGCTCCCATGTAAAGGGAAACAGAGGTGGCTTGCCTCACTTGGCATTTCTTTTTCAAGTCGCTGCAGCGGCGCCCAGAAGCCGGCTTTTGTCTCCCTTCAGGGTGGCTGCTTTTCTTCCCAGCCCCTTGCTGGTGCCCCCCTCTCTTTAACAAGACCAAAGTTGTTTATTCCCTTGGGAGGAAGCCTCAGATGGGCTGTGGCGCACCCAGCAGCTCGTGAGGGCCCCTCTCCCTTTGTGACCATTGAGCTCACCGAGCCCCCTTGTTTCCAGCCACTCTGTGTCGCAGGATGAGGCAGTGGGGACTGACGAGGTGCCATGCTCGCCCTTCCCACATCTGCCTCTGGCCCAGGGCCCATGGTCCATAGGTTGAGTTGGCGGCTGTCCCCGCCACTGAGTCCCTGTTGGGTGTGACAGAAAGGCAGGCAGTGAGTGAGGCCCACTGCAGTGGTGGTCAGATGGGGAGGACAGGAGAATGGGTGCCTTCCAGCAAGCGGAGCCCTGCCAGTCAGAGGCAGGGGGCTGTTGGTGACCCTGGAGTGACACCACTGCCTTGTGTTGGGGGACAGTGTGCCTCGACATCTGACAGCACTGCAGACTGCAGGCTGCTCCGGCTTGGCACTGCCCTCCATCTGTTTCCTCGGAGCCCAGGAATACCAGAGGATTCCCCCTCAAGAACCCCAACTGTAGAAGGAGAATGGCCTCCTTAATGTGGGGCCTTGATTTGGCTAGGGATCTTGGGGAAGAGACACTATTCAGAGGACCGAGCTTAGCTCCCCCTTGGCTGGCTGCTCTGGCTCCCCTGGTCTGGGTGTCTTGGGCAATGATCGTGGTGGGAACCATGCACCTCTTTGATTTGCCAATCAGTGAGTTGGAAAAAATCATCTGGCCAGGGCAAAGGGCAAAGAAAAGACTTTTGTCTCCAACCAGAGAAATAACAGAGACTGGGCCGGGCATGGAGTTGGGCTTTGCTAAAGGTCACCCTGAAAAGTCGGGGCCTCAGGGAGAAATGGCAGGTGGCTGCCAAGGTTCTTCCTCTGTGAAGTCACCATCACCATCATGGCCCCCGAGACACTTGGGGAACGATTGTCCTCCCCCCACAGCCTTGTGCATTCCCTTTGAAATGTGACCGATTGCTTCCAATCCCTATTGGCTGCGCAGTGGCAGATACCTCGTGTTAGTGTTGCGGAGGCAAGATAAACACTTCGCATGTTTGTGTCCTTCATTTATTTTTATGACTGACACATTCAGGAGGGTGGTAGTCGGCCAGTTCCCCAGCTGGCCCTGAGTCATGAGGCCCCACACTATCCCCGCTCATGTCCCCTCTCTGTCTCTCTGCTGCAGACGTGAAGTTCATTTCCAACCCACCCTCCATGGTGGCAGCTGGAAGCGTGGTGGCTGCAGTACAAGGCCTGCACCTGGGTAGCCCCAACAACTTCCTGACCTGCTACCGCCTGACGCACTTCCTCTCCAGAGTGATCAAGTGTGACCCGGTAAGTGGTGGCTGTAGAAGACATTTGCCACCTGGGTCCCCATGGCCAACAGGCTAGGCTTGAAGAGCAGGGCAATCCTGCATCCATCTCAGGAGGGGCCCTGCAGGGTTCTCTCATCTCCCTGGGGCTCCCACGAGCAGGCCGGAACCATAACAATGAGCCAAGGTCAGCCGCAGTGCGGACCCCCTGGCTGGCTGCAGCATGTAAGGCTTCTATACCCACAGTAGTAACAACAGCCAGTAAATAGCAACTTTAAAGGGCTCCTGTGATGGCTGCCCTCTAGTCAGCAAGAACAATGGAAATAAACTTGTTTTTTATGGCACTAGGGGGTGGGGTTCTGTGACACTTGTATTGAGTTGACCATTTCTTCATTCCTAAAAGTGCCACTGTTTTATCTTTGGTTCTTTTCTTTTTTGTAAAGAGAAAACTTCAATGACAGTTACAAGGGTTTGTGGCCTTTATCAAATTAGACAGAGGTTGGTGGGTCAGCTGTCACCTGCTGTGCATGAGGGAGGGACTAATTGCCTTGACACCCCCCACTCAGGCCAGGTGGGCCCACCCCAGAGCTTCTGGGAGGTTCTGGAAGTTTCACCCTCGTGTTCATGTTCACCTGCCTGTCTCCTTCCCAGCGGGTCCTCTGTTGGCAACACCCCCTCACACAAGGGGGTGTGTCCATGGTCCCCATGTCCCTTCCTGTCCCTCTCCCAGGCCTGGGCTGGGGATGGGTGTCTTCCCCTGGCTGTCAGGGGCAGCAGCTTCTTGGACAAGGACCTGGGTGAGATACTCTGGGGCCTCGAAATCCAAAACTTCCTTAGCCAACAAAGACATGGCTCATTGGTGAGCATGTGCCAGCACCGCTGAAAAAGAAAGATGCTTTGTATCTGCACTTTTTAAAATTTCTAGCCTCACACCCAAGACTGTTTAACCTGGTGAGCTATGTTGATGGATTTCTGGTGACAATGCCACGTGATGGCCACCTGGAGGCAATGACAATGTTGTCCCTCGTTTGAACAGTGTTCTAATTAGGTGTTAGGAAAATGCCTCCCAGCTGACACAGAGAAAGGAACTGAGGCTGGAATGACTTTGGCTTTCCAGTAACAAAAGTAGCTGAGCTCAGACTCAGACTGACAGCAAAGTCCTCAGCATTACCTCCCATAGTGAGCTGGGCCTCAGCTGCTACGTTCACTTCCTGTTGCCTCCAGGCCACCAGGGATCCCCAAAACTACCTTTGCCCAAGTTCATGAGCACTACAACCCATTTTCCTAGATGGGGTGTTCTCAGGAGGATGAGCCCACAAAAGACTCTGTTGTGGATGAAGGCATGTTCTAGAAGTTTCTGGGGCTTTTTATTTTGTTTTTGGTACAGGGATCAAACTCGGGACCTTGTGCTTGTGAGGCAGGCAGCGGAATCACTGAGCTAAATCCCTGGCCCTAGAAGATCCTGGGGTGGATGGAACGTCCACCCTGTGTACCCCAGGTGTGCTATGCCAAGTGACAGTAATTGTGTGTCCCTTCTCACCAAAATGCACAGCCAATTCTTGGATCTTCTGGCCATGGGGAAAGGGCACCATCCAACTGGGGAGGCCTTCAAGCCTGAGTAGGGACAAAGGGACAAGGCAGAAAGGGCCCAAAAGCCTGAATTCAGCTCTAGCTCTAACCTCAACGGTGGGACTTGAGTGGGTCAAGTGTAGGGTACCTGAGATGAGGGGACAGATGGCTGAGAAGCTGGAGCATGAGCTGGGTGTGGAGCTGCTCGGGTTATGGCAGCCCTAGAGACTCCATTCCTGCACCTCTTGGCTTCATTTCAGCACACAGCCCACCCCGCCTAAGAACTGACAAGGGTATGAAGGGTTGTGGGTGAGAGCTGTCTGGCCTCAGGGGCATCTGAGGATGTCTGGGGTTTTGTGTTCACACCAAACCTTTTGGGCCTTGGTTTCCTCAACTGCAAAATGGTATCTTTTCCATCAGCCCTGCCGCCATTGTTCATCCTGTGTATCAAACAGAAACACGAGAATCCCTGCTAGCCTGGGGACATTGGCATCCGCTGTAACCCTTTGTGTGGGGGTAGCTTAGCCCTGTGTGGGTGGGAAAGTCCGTTTGGGGGGCTGACTGAAAACTATGTCACGGTCTGAGATGCCCTGCCCAGCACCTGGGAGCAGGGTCACTCAGGCTTCCTTGAAGCAAGAACAGAGTGAGCTTCTGCGACAGTGACCCTGGCACAGGGCAGCCCCGGGTCCCCCTTGGCAGTTCAGGTGGTCACCGCCCAGGGGAGTACAGCCCAGTGTGGATGGAGGTACAGAGCTGCAGCACCTCCTGTGCAGGGGCAATGCTCATGTGCAAGTGGGTGGGGCACAGAAACAGACAGAGGGATAAATAAAGGTCCCGGCCCTGGCATCCATCCTCAGTTGACCACAGTGTGAGGCTCACCTGCAGGGCTGCCACTGGGCAGAGGTCATGTCCAGGAAGAACAGGGCTCCTGGGCCCCATCTGGATTGGACTTATGGAGTCCAGGAGACTGGAGATCAGGGCCCATGAAGGAATTCCAAGAGGCCAGGCCCTGCTGGGGAGCTCGTGGCAGGTAGTGGGTATCTGAAGTCTGCATCCAGAGGGGACAGGCACAGTCTTGTGACACGGGAGGCAGAAGAATTTGGTCTCCAGTGGGGTTACCAGGCCGGACTGCAGCTGGGGACCAAAGGTAGCACACACTTCTCATTCCTGGGGCTTGGTGGCAGCTCTTACGGCTGGTCCTTTTGAAGACCTTCAGGTCCAGCATTGGGACAGGGCCTTGGCTTTGTACGACCTTCTAAAGAACCAACCCTCTCTGTCCCCTGCCCAGGACTGCCTGCGTGCCTGCCAGGAACAGATCGAGGCCCTGCTGGAGTCCAGCCTGCGCCAGGCCCAGCAGAATTTAGACCCCAAGGCCACAGAGGAAGAGGAGGAGGAGGAGGAGGAGGCGGACCTGGCCTGCACGCCCACTGATGTGCGGGACGTGGACATCTGAGGCGCCCCTGCCACCAGGGCGCGGAGCAGTGACTGGCAGCTCCTTCAAGGGAAGAGCCAGTCCCAGCTGCTCCTCTGACCAGGTCCCTCTTCTCCAGGACATTTTGCTACCAGAAGGGAAAGTTTCATTCTCCTTGTTGGTTTTTGTTCCTTTGCTCTTTTTCCCTTCCATCTCTGACTTAAGCAAAAGAAAAAATAACCTGAAAACCTTAAAAAAAGAGAGAGTGAAAGAGAGAGGATAGACTTTGCATAACCCTGAATGGGGGGAGGTGAGTTGTGCTACAAAATAGAGGCTTTTATACCCCAGTAATCAACTAGTTTTTATATTAATGTGCTTGTGTCTCTGGTAAGAAATAGATATTAACACACAAGAAGTCTCCAGGGAGGACTAGATTTGATTCCTCATGTGTTTGAAAAAAAAAAAAAAAGGCATAAAAACATTTTAAAAGAGAAAAATCCCAACAAACCATTTTTAAAGTAGAAGAGGGTTTTAGTTAGAAACATGTATTCTTGTGCACTCCCAGGATGCGCATCTCAGTGTGGTTCTGGGCGTTCCTGTCCCTGCTTGTTGGGCTGTGTAGTCACTTGATAAGTCACATGTATGTTCATTTATCTTGTAGCTAGGTAGATATATAACCTCTTCACCTTAAGGATGGTTCATGCAATCTCTCGGTCAGCGTAGCAGACTGTGGCATCCTTTTGTGCTCATCAGAGGCCAGGTGTGCCAGGTACCAGCCAGTCTCAAGGTAGTGGGAAAAGCCAGCTGTCCCCTTCCTGCGACATGCTACTGTAGAGAGAAAACGAAATAGTGACATAATATATTCTATTTTTATAATCTTCCTATTTTTGTAGTTACCTGTTTATGAGATGCTGGTTTTTTTCACCCAGTGCCCTGCAGCCTGCTCACAACCAGGTTACATTCACAGCTACTTTTCTCTTTTCTGTTGTTGTCGTTTTGGTTTTTCTTCTCCGTATTCTGAAACCATTCCATTTCAGAGCACTTTGGGTCCAGTAGTTAGAGGCAATATCGCTGTTGATGTTGTGCATGTGGGGAGGGGGGGTTGATTTTTTAATGGAATGGTCCAGGAATATTCACGTACTTGTATGCAAACAGGATTGCTAAGCAAGTGCATGTCACTGCGGGGTTAGCGAGAGGGGGATGTTTTCTGAAGGTTTTGTTCCAGTCAAGAAGAAACAGATCCACATTCTCAACATTGCCAGGATGATAGAGAAGTTCCTGTCCTGTAGAGAAATTGAAGTTCATAGGAATCCTTTGGTGCCAGCTGGTGTTTGAAATTAGGGACCTCAAAGGTTTACCTAGAGAGCAAGTAGTTTAAGGGTTACTTTTAGATGTTTCATGATGGAAGGTTTTTAAACACTAAAATATATAATTTATAGTTAAGGCTAAAAAGTATTTATTGCAGAGGGTGCTCATGAGGCCAGTATGATTTATAAAGTAATGCAATCTCCCCTTGATTTAAACACACAAACATTTCTGCCTTTGGTGTCACAGGCTTAATACAGTTTACGGAAGATTGGTCCCTTTGTAGGCAAGGGGGAAAATCTCAAGATAAACCACGCAAGACACAGATTCGGCCTACTTGGCATTTTCCAAAGTGGTCTGATCTGCGAATCATCCAGGAAAGTTAGGGTACTTGAATGAGTTCAATTCCAATGCACTCTTATCCCCTGCCCGATCCTTTAAAAAAAAAAGTTAGTAACAGGTAGACAATTTGCACATCTTGGCTCTGTAGCTTTTTATTTAGGAATTGTTGAAGGGAGGTGGCGAGAGCGTGAGGCTGAGGCTGGAGAGAGGACGGGAGGGAGGAAGTGTGGACGGGAAGAGGGGACGGGGCAGTGACCGCGTGAGGGAGAGGCTGCAGCTCCGTTTCTTAATGCGCTGCTACCGATGACTTCCCGGCACGGTTCAGAAACAAACACATCGCTTCTCTGTATCTCTTTCACATTGTTTTGCTGCTATTGGAGGATCAGACTTTTTGTTGTTTTACAATGTCATATACTGCCATGTTCCTGTTTTAATTTCCTCGTAGAAAATTGTATTCCAGATTCCCTTGTTTTGTAGTTTTTTTTTTTTTTATGTGATCAGTTTTGACTTAATGTGATTACTGCTCTATTCCAAAAAGGTCCCTGTTCACAATACCTCATGCTTCACTTAGCCATCCATGTGCAGACCCGATGGTTGGGCTCTGTCTGCCTCGGTGGACAGACACACGGACAAGATACCAAGATTGGGCCTGGTGGGAACCGGCCATGGCCTGGTCCACGAGACTCTCACGGGGGTCTTTCCTTGGCGCCTGTCGTGTGAGGCTGTTCACCTATCTGGGATGTACCATCGTAGTAGTTTTGACAGCTGTATCATTCTGTATGTGTAGTTATGAACATTGCATCATTATTATTATTATTATTGTTATTGTTATTGTTATTGTTATTATAACCAGTCTGTCTTACGTGCCACTGTGGTGCTGGGCCCGTAGGACTCTTGTCATTCGGGATGATTGAAATTGCTTCTGGAATTTGTTCAAGTTTTGGGTGTGTTAATCTGTTGTTATTGTACTAGTGTTCTGTCTGTTGTTGTTTTGTTAATTATGGCATGATGCTAATTTAAAAGAGACTCCAAATCTCAGTGGAGCCAGCTCACAATGCTGTGTGCCCAAGAGCCCCCTAGCAAGCTGCCGAACCAAAAGGATTTGTGCCCCCGAGGGGTGGGTCTGTGCCGGAGGCCATTGGCAGGTGCAGGGCCATCCCTCCGCCCCTCCGGATCACTGCTTCTGCTTTACCTCAACCATCCTGGCTGCGACGTCTCTATGTCTGAACCAAGCAGGGTCCTTGAGGGACGGTGTGTCCACGGTGGTGCGTGAGGGCAGATGTCTTCAATACTGTGTGTGCCAAAAGGCCAAAGGCTAGTGGCAGGTCCACGGAGCACAGCAGAGTCTGTCCTGTGATGCGAAAGTCTGTGAGGGTCTCTGGTCGACGGGCAGTTTGGGTCTGTGCTTTGGTTGACACACCGCGGCGCTTCCCAGCACAGACATGTAACCGGCACGTTTCCAGCAGAAAACAAAAGACAAACGTGAAAAAGTCTAGAAATAAAATTGGTAAAAGCCCCAGTGTGGTCCTTGCCTGGGTTTTCTGGGCTGGCAGGAGGCTGGGGAGAGGCCCGGATCTGGCAGGGCGGGCCAGGCCGGGTTCACTGGGTGTACAGGGCTGTCCTAGGGGGCTGGGTCATCCTGACAGCCACTAGAGGACAGCACCCCCGGGTGACAACCAAGAGTGTTTCCTGACATTGCCAGATGATCCTGGGGGAGGAGGGTTCAAGAGAATTGGCAGGTGGCACCTCTGATGCGTAAACAGCTTCTGGCGTCAGGGGACGGGAGCGGTGTCCCTTGATCAGAAGCATCTCCCGGCCCTCGTGTGGCCCATTTGCCCTCCCGGTTATTTGTAGATAGAAAAATAAATAAAGCCAGCATTTGTTCCCCCTCTTCTGGCGCACACTGCTGTTTGCTCTGGGTGAATCATAGGCCTTAAGCACAGCCAAGATCGCAGAGCAAAGCGCAGCTTTGGGGCTGTGGTCCTGGGCAGTCTTTTGTACAGGTCCCTGGGTGCGTGGGCCTTCCTGGACTCTGCGGCCCTCACCTGCAGGGCTTCAGGCCAGTTGTCCTCACCTAAGGCAGCTGCCTAGTTTTTAAGCCAAGAACAGAGGATTGCCACTGTGTCGGCCACCAAGGCCTTTATGCAGCACCTGTGTGCCTGTGCTCTTCTGCAGGGCGATCCTAGGGGCCTGTGCTTGGCCAAGTTGGTTCTCCACAGGCACCTGCACTCTGGGAGGAAGGGAAAGGGGCACACTGGGCCTCCATGGTCACTGCTGTGTCTCTGGGTCTGGAAGCCTGCAGGGAGCTGCAAAAAGCTGACAGGTAGTCTCATAGCAAGAGCTCCTGGGACCCTGAACCTGAGGAGGCAGCCAGTGGCCACTCAGGTAGTTTCCAAGGGCCCAGCCTGCTCCTTAGTCAAGTAACTAAGGACTCGGTCCATCCATGCACACCTCAGTTGCCCAGCTCCATGCAAGAGCCGGTCTTTGTTGGCTGGGGACCCGGGAATCCACACCCCCAACCTCAGCCCACAAGATGATTGCAAGGAGGGCGTGGGGCATGGGGCCTCTGTTTCGGGCCAGGTGGAATGGCAATGTAATGGCAGGGTGGCAGTGGGGTGGTGACAGAGCAGCAGGATCATTTTGCTGTGTGGGGGAGGAGCAAGTGGGCAGAACTCATGCGTGGGGTATGGGGCTTGTTCATTGTTTTGAGGAGGGAGATGTTTGTAGGCTGATAGGTGTGACAGCGTTGGGAGGAGCAATGCATGGACCAGGAGAGGAAGGCCAGGGTGACTGGGCAGACAACCTTGGGGTCCAGCCACAGAAGGGGAGGCAGGCAGAAGCCTGGAGGGATGGATGGTATGAGCTTCACCTCCATTCCCACAGAAAGGTTCAGAGTGCATCTGCCCCCCTGCACTCCACATTGGCAGCTGAGCCCTGTTGATGATCGGCCTCCAGTGCTCTCCTTGGCTGGCTAGCGAGACCTGGGTTATGGCCCCTCAAACTCAGAAAACATCTCAGGAGCCCTGACCCTGGAGGTCATGATGGCGGCTCCCTTTGGGGGCTGTCTGGCTGTTCTGTTGACAGGATGACAGTGAAAACTGAGGAGCTCCAGGGACCAAGCCTTTGAGCAGTCCACACCCCACTGCTCTTTCCCAGAAGCTCCCTCGTGTCCCACGTGCTCAGTGGGGCCCCTGCCTGCCCCCCTGACCAGCCTCTAGCCCTCTGTCCACACCTGCTGGGCCCGCTCCCTCAGCCCATCCCTTTGCTTTCAACCCCCTGAACCTCGGTTCTGCCCAGGCTGGTGACACACAGGCTGCTTCAGGCTCTGTCTTGTCGCCTGGTCCCAACCTGGCCTTCCTTTCTTATTACCCCTCACAGGCAGAAAAACAGCTTCCGTGATGACTTTGTACCCCTACGCCTCCACAGGTGGCCTGGCATCTTCCTGCTCTTCCCTTGAGGGAAGATAGAAGTCTTGGGGACCCCTCAGACCTCTTCTGCACCCTGCAGCTGAGTCGAAGGCGATAGGGTCCCCAGGCCAGCCCCATGCAGAGTCTCAGGCACCGTCAGTTGACTCAACAGTGGGAGGGCGGGGGTCTCCAAGGGACCCGGGGGCAACCCCAGCTGCTGCGATGAGAAGTGGGGTGCAAGGCTGGCCAGGCTGGGTGGACGTGTGCCCTCAATTCTGGGAGGAAAAATGGCAGGGCCTGTAGGCTTCCAGAGGAAGGGGCCTCTGTACTGCCACAGACCACCCACCTGCACTATGACCCTCCACGCAGGAGGCAGAACCAGAGCCCAGGCCCCACAGCCTCTGGGCTTGGCCTCTGTGTTCTACAGGACACAGGACATGGCAGTTTCTGCCTTTTGCCACTGCACTGCCACGGGTCCTCAAGAGACTGGTGCCAGGAACTGGCCCTGTGGGAGGGCAGCGGTGGCAATGGCAGTGTGGGGTGGGGTGTGCATCCTTCCCAGCATGCTGGACTGCATGATGGACCTACCCCTGGCCTGCCTCTCACAGAGCTCTGTCATCCCAGGAATGCCTTTGATCAAGAGTTTATGCAGAGAGGGAAAGAAAGCCCAGGACCTCTAATCCGTTCCCACAGTCCCCTGCCTGCCAGGGCCCCACCAGCCCAGCGCCACACACCGCAGGCCTAGAGCAGACAATAGCCTGTGGACGGGTGGGCGGGCAGGTCCAGGGCTGCTGGCCTTGGGGCCCACATCCGGGGGCATTGTCACCACCACTCCCAGGGCACATGGGGAGGACAGGGAAGAAAGAATGTGGAGGATCTGCAAAAAGGGCTGCGGTGGGCTCTGGGCCTATCCACGGCTGCGGCATCCATTAATCCTTTTGATTTTTACCTAGCAGCAATGGAGACAGCCTGTCCACTGCCACCACTGTAGAGCCTGCGGGGGATGGGGGACCTCCAGATCACCCCGGTTCCAGACCCAGGCCTTCCAGGTTGATTGTCTGGGCATGTCCTCCCCTTGTGATCCCAGACCAGAGGTCACAGCATGCACTGTGTACCACTGTCCAGCTGAAAACTAAGCAGTTTCTCCCTGGCTCCCAAAACAACCTTGAGTGCTGGGGAAGTGGAGGGGACAGCCAGACACGCTGTGAGAGTTACAGATCTGGCCCTACCCTCCAGGTATAAGGTGAGTACAGGGACCCCAAGGTTATCAGACTGTTAAAAGCCAGACAGAGATGTGAGGTTTTGTGGCCATACCGTCCATTGCACTGGTCAACTCTGCCAAGCCTTGTACCATAACAGCCAGGCATCTTGGTAAACAAACGAATGTACTGTGTGCCAGTAAATCTTGATTTACAAAAATAGGCAGCAGATTTGAGTTTGGGATTAGGGGAGGTGGGTAAACTGAGGCTCAGGGTAGTGTAGTAATAGACCTGAAATCATACAGCTGGTGTGTAACCCTGCCAGGCCTGAGGTCAAGAGCTAAGCACTCCTGCCCTGGGACGTATGCATCAGGCCTGGGAGGACCCATACCCTCCACGTGACCATTTCCCCCCAAGGGCTGGTGTACATCTAGGCCTGGTTTTGCCAAGTGACCCTGTGTCCTAGGCTTCAAGCCACAAGCCCTGTGGTCAGTGCTGTCTCGGCCCCCTGGCTTGGAGTAGGACAGCCACCCAGCCAGCAGTGGATGTCTGAGGGTGACCACCTGTTTAAAAAGGAAGATCACATACCCATATATGCATACATTAATCAAATATTTCCCAGCAAAAGACATTAAGCTTGGACCTCAGCTCTGTAACATCCAGGCTATGCAGCTTGGCCTCCCTGAGCTTCAGTTTCTACAACTGTACGACGGGAATCACCTGCAGGAATGTGAGCTCACGACTTGAGGTACCGTCCTTGCTCAGTTGGTCAGTCAGCTTGCCATCACTATGATCCATACCTGGGAAAGTCGCCTTACAAAGAGGAAACATTTATTTCAGCTCATAGTTTGGGAGGTTCCAATCCTTAAGCAGCACAATGTAGTGGGAAGGCAAAAAAAAAAGCCAGGGGTCAGAAGTTACCAGCTGGACTTCCTCCCTTGGCTTCTCAAGTGGAAAAGCCTTGGTTTTCTTGCCACACTGATTCCCCTTCCTAATGGGAACAGCACCCACATTGGGCTCTAGAGGACCCACCATTCCCAGCTTTGTGGCTCATTTGGAGCTAACCCCACCCCCAGCTCTGGGTCAGGCCTTGACAGGCTCAAACCCAGCAGCCCCTTTACACCCAGAGAAGAACACAAGAGCAGAGTTGTACATTCAAGGTAGGATGTGACAGTGAATAGCACCAAGGGACTTAGGGAGACATTTCCCAGGGTTTCAAAAGCAGAGGGCTTCCCTATTCCTTGGATTCTAGCATTTCTGCTGCCTGGATGGGAGCCCGGCACAGGGTCTGCCCTGCAAGAGCAGAGAGGGGGAAACAGGTCTCTGGAGAAGTGGCCAGATCAAGCCACTCCTGAAGTTATATCCCTTTTATTCCAGGAGCTCCTTGCTTTCTTTAAATGAGGTCAGTTTGCTCTAGGCTCTGCGTGACTTGCTTTCCGAAGATCCTCACCAACTCTTACAACTCATGTGTGCTTTCTACCTTGCCTAGATTTAGCACGAATGAGCCATGGGAGCCACTGACCAAGTTCTACATTGCTGGCAAGGAGCCCCTTGGGGTCAGGCAATGCCTTGTCTTGACCACATTGCTGGCCTAGTTCCCTTCCTCTTCTAAGGTACACTTTGCATCATGGAGCACACATGTGACCAAACAGATTGGAAAGGGCCCAGGCACCCGTCTCCCCTGTCCCAGGACAGCTGGATGGCCCTAACTGGCCAAGAACATGGCAGGCTAGAGATAGCCTTCCCTGGCAGCCCTCAGCTGGTCCCCTGCACAAATTCCATGCACCCCAAGGTGGCAGCCAGGCTGAGGGGAGTTCCTGGGGCCCATGGACAGCAGTGTCCTCAGTAGCAGCAGAGACTAGGGGAGCTGAGAACAGTCCCTTGGGAGGCCCCTGAAGTACCAGGCATTCTGGTACTGTGGGTGTCCAGCTCCCTCACCCAGCTGGAGAGGGAACATGCATCGGATTCCTCGGGCTGCCATAACATACTATGACAAGTGACATGGCTTAAAACAATGCAAACCTATTATTCTCTCACAATTCTGGAGTCTGGAGGTATGGCCTAGGGGTGTCACCAGAGCCTTCATCTCTCCCAGCTTCTAGTGGCTTCCCTTGGTGAAGCTGCAGCCATTGGGTGTCTGCCTCCATCTTCACGGGGCCTTCTGTTTCTTGTGTGTCTCTTCCCCCTTATAAGGACTGTTATGTCTGTGTCCAGATGTCCCCCCAGAGCCTCATGTGGTCTTTCGTGGGGTTTTTTTCAGAGATGGCTGGATCTAGAGTGTATAATTGATTTATGGTGCAATGCTAGGCTCAAGGGCACTAGGATTAAGGTAGGAGTGCTATTGCCCTAAGTAGCCCAGACAAAAGGGGCTGAAAGATGCTGTTAAGGTCCCTTGTTGATTGCTTTTACTGTCTTCTCCCTGCCACGAACTGTTTCTCCTTTGTGATGCCCCTCTGCCAAGCTACCCTGCCTTGAAGCCAACTGATTATGGACTGAAATTTCTACAAACTATAAGATAAATAGACTCAGACTTCAGTGTTTGTCTTTTGGAGATGAGACTGAATGCTAACAGACATGCTTGAGCTCTGGAAGCCAGTTGGCAGGCTCACAAGCCCCTGCTGGCTCAGGGACAGGCACCCACAGGAAACAGCCACATCCCATACATCCCTGCTGAGTGGCCAGCTCCTTCCCATGTCTTTAGTTTCGCTGGTGCAATCTCTCCAGTGGAGGGACAAGGACAGAGGACAGAGCCCCTGACCCCTGTGATTCTAGGCCCAACTGATCCAGTGACAGCACAAGGGGCAGCCAGGACAATGCCAGGACAGGCAGCAAGGGCTGGGATGGCTATGGGGGTCAGCAGCCTGTGGAAAGAGTGACAGGGTTTATAGTAAGGAGTGACTTTCCCAGCTGAGCTAAGAGTCACCTAGGTCCTCATCACTAGGATTCCATGTCCAGTGACACACTGCACACAGCACGTTTGCCCTCATAAACCACCAAAGCTCTGTGACTTCAACTTCCTGAGTCCCAAACCAGTTCCTTACTTTGCCTGTGACAGAACGCAGCACAGGCATCAGGATGGCTCATGTTCATTACAGCATTTGTCATCTCCAGGTCACACGGGGTTTCCAGGAAGGGTAGGAGAGAGTTCTCCCAAGACTTAGCGTGACGGCCACAATCTCCGCACATCTCATTCTGTCACTCCCTGCAGAGCTGACCACCCGCTCACCTCTGGGCTCCCAAGGACCACACGTCCCTGCTAGAGACCTGTTCAAAGGGTCTGGGCAGCTAAAGACCAATTCAGTTGCTGTTTCTCCTACAAGTGGCCAACACTGCTTTTGCCATAAATCCATCTGTCTTTGCCTCTGACAGCTACCTGGCTCCAAAGGCAGGCTGAGAATTAGCATAAAAATGAGGCCCCACCTTTGGGGAGCAGACATACCTGGTTTAAGCAAATTGCTCAAGCCCCACTGTACCTTGTCCGGCCTGTGGTTGGCCACCTGCTGTGACTACTGGCAGTCAGCCCACTGGGCTCGTATCCCCACCTGGAAGGAAGTGCCCTGCCCCATGGCATCAATGGTTGGTCCAGCAATGGAAGGAAGGCTAAGGGCCAGCCACTAGCAGCCACTCAATACTCAGGACCTCATCTTTTTTTTTTTTCCTGAGTACTAGGGCTCCAACTCAGGACCTTGAGCTTGCCCTGCAGCTACATTCCCAGACCCTAGGACTTCTTGTCTCATTTGCTCCCTTCACTCATATCTTACCACTGGATGGAAAATTTTAAGGTGAGGTGAAACAAAGAAAAAGTGAAATGTGGCCTTGATGTAGGATGGCAGTTAGCTATATGGCAATCAGAGTAATTCTGAGGGGAAGCATCAGTGAAGGACTGATTAATCATGCTTCCATCCAATTGCTAGACACCAGAAAATCCAAAAACCCATTTCACCTTCTATACAAAATGCCTTTATTATTATCATTCCCAGGTTAACAGGCTGTCCCAGCAGCCAAGACAGGCTAGCCCCACAAATTTATACTGAACCCCTAAGCTCCAACACCTTAGAATGTGACCACAGCTGGAGATGGGGGTCTTGTAGAGGTCATTTAAGCTAAAATGAAGTTATTAAGTGTGGGCCCTCATCCAATCTGACTAGGGCCTTATAGGAAGAGATGGGGACAAAGATACACACAGGGACAACCTCATGAGGTCACAGGGAGGAGATGCCATCTGCAAGTCAAGGGGAGAGGCCTCAAGAGGAGACACCTGCATCTTGAACATCCAGCCTCTGGGACGTGAGCTATAAATGTCTGCTACCCAAGTTGCCCATCTGTGGAGTGTCATGGCGGCCCCAAGAAACTAACAATAGCACAAAAGGTGCCAAAGCCCTGACCGGAAGTAGGCCTCTCCTTCGGAACCTGCAGGGAGGACAAAATCCTACCCGGGGAGCTCACAAATCCTCGGCCAATGTGGACAAGGGTCTTTATCCAAGAGAACCAGATGGGTGGGATGGGTTTGGACAGGACAAGAAGACAGCAAGCAAACAATGGTGACCAACCAAACAGCCTCAGTCAGCTGGGACACTGAGACACACACAGGTAGGTAGTAGGGCTGGTCAGCTCAGTGGCTCGATGGTGACATGAAGGACCCTGGTTGCTTCGAGTGTACTACTGTGCACTCAGGCATGGCTTCCTCTGCAGCTGCCTGCAAGTTGCCTATGCCAGTTCCAAGTGTCACATCCCAATGGGATGACATGTAAGAGGCTGCAGCCCTCAAGAATGATGTTATGTCCCTTCCCAGCAAACACACATCTCGTCGGCCACAGGAGGATGGCACCTGTTCCTGACCCAAGCACAGCAGCTGTCTGTATGGATTCTAGGCCTGTGGGTACCCAAGGGACCATGGAACCTGGCTCAGTGCTTCAGTAAAAGCCAGGTGAACATGGGTCAAAGTCAGCACACAGAAACATGAGGAAGATGATCAGAGGTTGCCAAGGTTCCATGAGACAGAAGAGGAAGAAGCATCCTGCTGCTCAGACCCCTGGGCTGGGAAAGGTGAGGATGTGTGCATCAGGAAGGGACAGCTCTGGGGCTGGCCAGCAGGGCGGACATTTCCCAGCCAGGAGGGAACCATTCTCCCCTCTCACAACAACTTCTCCCTAGTTACCAGACATGTGGACAGCAGCCATCCTTGGCTTGCCAGACCACTGCTCCTCTGAACCTAGATCCCCACACTTGGGTGAGGTATGCAGTGGCTAGAAGGGTACTAGAAATGGTACGAGACAAACTTATACTTTAAAATATGACATTTATTTATTTTTCCAATTAGAAAAACAACATATTATCTAAACACATATCTTAGAAAACACAAAACTCCAGAGGGGAAAATAGCCAGTGTCCTCTAGTCCAGGAACCCTATACGGCAAAGTTCATCCCACCTCCAAGGACAGTGGGAAGGGCACATCAGGCACTTCTGGGCTGGGGCTGGCATCTCCTCCTCTTACTCATATGTCCAGGCAAAGGGAACTGGGGAGCCCCAGAGCTCCATGGGGGCAGCAGGCTCTGTGCCGTCCATGGCAGGACAGAGCTCCCAGTGCTTTGTGGTGCCATGAACTCCTCGCTCGGCTGCTGGGCCCTCAGACCAGGCAATCCCTTTCTGGTCTGTTTGCTCACCTCTAAAGGGGAAACCACCTACCTCCTGGGTCACTGAAGCAATGAAATAAAACCTAAGAAACACCAATATTCTGTATGGTGCCTAGAAGGCTTAACAAACATCAAAGTACTACTCATATCTTTCTATTAACCTACTTCCTATCAACCCTGTCTCTTTTCTTCCTAAGTTACTTGGGATTGAACACAGGATCTTTGCAATGAGCTACATCCGTAACCCTTTTCAAGTTTTCACTAAGTTGCTAAACTGCCCAGGCTGGGCCCAAACTTGCAATTGTCCTGCCTCAACCTACCAGAATGCTGGGATAACAGGTGTGCATCACTACAGCCAGTTAACCCTGTCTTTTTTTTTTTTTTTTTTTTTTTT